TAGATGTCGCTAAAAGTTACACACTGTAGCTTTAAATAGAATATATATTTTCTTGAAAAGGGTAACGAGAACCCAGCACACAAAAAAACTTCACACAATTATTGCTAGATGTTTGATTAACAAAATACGCGTTGAAACATTAAGGCAGTAAAATCAATGCTGAATGAGTTTTTTAAAGCAAGCACTTTAAATATATATAGTCCTTTTTCTAATAAGGTGTTTCTTTAATGATCATCAAATTTGTGTCTTTTTAAAACAAGATGTATTTTTATGACTGAGATTAAAAGGGCTAAAAAACAAACCCTCTTAGTCCACTATCTGACTAAAAAGAGATTACAGACTGCTAGAATCTGGCTATTTTGGCAGTTAATCCCAGCTGGATAAAGACATCACAAACAAAAAGTGATACAGCTTATTATATTTTCAGAAAGATATACATATGCCTTGCAGAGTTATTTCTCAAAGCCAACATTAGATGTATTTTGTAGCTACTTATTCCAATTAAAACAACACTGCTTGAGAACATTACCATATTAAAAGGAACTGGGACCTTTTAATATTAATCAGAGTAATATTGCTCTTTCTGGGAAACCAAAAGCCTGGGCCCATTTGTGTGACCCCCACAAGGGCAGAGCTCCTGCTTCCATAAATACCACCAAGCCCACCTGAGATGGCTTATCGGAGGGGCCTGTGTCAGAGAGATGGATAGAGCTACACTAAAGAGCACTCTGGTTCCACTTATCCATGAGGATATGTACTCCCCTATTCCCTAACACAGGCAGCTCTTGAATTTCCATGTGCCTGCCGTCCTGGCAATATTTGGTTGCAGTGCATATTAACGGTCTGTGTGGGCTCCCACATCTTTTTCCATTTATCTTATAGATCTACAGATTTTTTCCTATAGATTTGTGCTATAGATTTTTTTAATTTCTGATTCACTGCACTTCCAGGTTTTCTTTCTTTCTTTCTTTCTTTCTTTCTTTCTTTCTTTCTTTCTTTCTTTCTTTCTTTCTTTCTTTCTTTCTTTCTTTCTTTCTTTCTTTAGCATTTTCATAAAAACGAAAGTGAGTACTCCTCTTACATGTTTGATAATTTCTTTCAATATTACTTTTTATTGGACAACAATGAGCTTGATTAAAGCTGCACTTAAAACTTCTGAGAAAGCTATTCTTCTTTTAGTTTTATGGCAGAAAATTGTGGACTTGGACTGAACGTTTTAACAGGATATACTTACAGGTTCCTCTTGCTCGTTACTCAACAGCTCTCGCTATACGGCTCCTTCCCAACAGCAAAGCCCACCATGAACAATCAATAATTGGCATATAAACAGCTATGACACATTCACTAGTAGGGACACAACATTAATGATAGGCTTTGCATTGACCCACAACTTGTAGCACACTGGCAATCTTAAGCTTAAACAGGCAGGGAGGGTTGTGAGCAGCATCTAGTCTACATCAGCATGATTGACACTTTCTAGTGCACCTTTAGGAGTGTAAATTCACTGTTCTCTTCAAATTACTCAACCATTAATGTCTAACCTGCTGGGGAAAAAGTGAGTACAGCTGTGATGTTTGGTTCCATCTAAAAGGCCTTGCTTCGCTTATGGTCAATCAGAGAAGCTTAATGCATGTGCTGAGTATTGAGAGGTTGTTGTTGTTTTTTTTGATAGACATGGATGGTGGTCTGCATTGCTACAAAGGTTATGGGTCTGGGACAATCAGCCTGTTAGTGCTCATAACATGCATTTCCAATGGCATCAAAATGGTCTACATGGCTGTTATCCCACAAGGAAGCTTCAGCTACAGATGATACACAACAAAACTGCAAATGGTTCGCTAAAAACAGTGAGACTGAGTATATGGATGATTGGGACCATGATCTGTGGATACAAAGATAAACTGATCTGGTTCAGTGAGAGTCAAGCCTGTGAAGTTCCAACCAGTTAAAAAATTCCAACATGTCTATTAACCACAAGCAAACCTCGAAAACAACCACTGCCTTGCTAAATGGAATGGGGCAGGGCTTTCTCTGCCAAGACTTCAGACCTGATAATGTTTTCAGACCTAAAACTTATCAAGCATCAGCGGGGTATCATTAGAAAGAAGGATGAGGAGGGTGAGGTCTCTAACAGCCTCCAAAGTGTAAAAGATGATTGCAGGGTCAACCTGTAAATATCTAGTGAGTCCATTGCCCAAGAAAGTTAAGGCAGTCCTGGAAAATAAAGGTGGTCACACAAAATATTGACCCTCTGAAAAATGTCTTGACATATTCCCTGAAAGATTAATTCTCTTTTGTTGCCAGTGGTTTAGACATTAATTACTTTGTGTTGAGTAATCAGGAAGGGAAAATGCACAATATTAAAATATACACAAGGAGTATGTTAGGTTGTGTGATAGGGTATTACCTCCTTGATTCAAATCGAATTAAAATGAATCTTGAATTTGCAGATAATTTTAAATCAGGAAAAAATATTTCTTGGTACTTTGTACTCTACAAATATGGATAAAGATACTGATGTCAGGTTGGGTGGAAGTTTTAGAGGACCCAAATGCAGACATGAGGGAGGCAGAGATGAGTTCTTGTAGGTTTAATGTCCAAAAAGCAGCAACTGACGCAAAAATCCAAAATAACAAATACACTAAAACTACAATGTAGGAGACATACAGGAAAACACACATGAGGAGGCAGGAAACGACAAGGAAACAACCAAATAGTGACTGAACATAAGGTGTATAAATGGGAGGCTGAAGAAAGACCAGGGTAATCAGCAGATTGGGAGCAGGTGTGGATAGAGGAATCGTGAAGGGAGCTAGGAGAAGGAGACTGACACAAGAGGGCGACAGAGAGTAAACAAGAAATACATAAAAACTCAAAAATATAACCAAAAACAATAAGAATAACACAGAATGGAAATTAAACCAATAAATTTGAAAACACACAAAAAATGAATCAAAGTAAAAAAGAAAACTTGGAGAACCAAAAAGTGTAGTCATGACAACTGAATGTTTTTTTGACAAAATTCCATCAGTAAAAGAAGGTTAACTGCATTATGCCAAAACAGGACACTGGTACAATCTTGTCTATTTATTATGCACCATAGAACAAAAAGCATGTCATAATATATAATAAAATTATATGAAAATTATAAACATTTCATATTTAAATTGAATAGTTCAGTAAAATATTGGAGAAATTAAGCATATGTATAGTTTACTGTTTGTTTTTTGCTGTATTCTTTTATGCTTGTACATACAAAAATCTAAGATTAAAAAAAGAACAGCTTAATTTGTGTAATCTCCTGTATATTTCATGTTTGTGTGCAGGTAAGAACCCATCGCAGCAGTTTACAGCTGTGATCCATGTGGTAACTCCTCTGCAGTCCCAGATCTCTCCTGTGGTGAAGCTCATCATCGCCGTGGCCAAGTCTAAGTTCTGTGCACAGGTGAGAAAATCAATACAAACCATACTATGATCCCACGCTGTTACTCCTTAAAATAATAATATTTTTTAAACTATTTTCTGTGATAACCACATTAATAATTACATCAGTTCTTAATTTTTGATCATGGAGATTTTGAAAACACAGATTATGACCACATTTTTTTCAGTTGCATTTAAATCTAGTGGTCTTATCTTTACTTTTTTTACATAATTTTTATGTTTTTTTTATGGAATATTTGTAATGCTCAGGTTTGCTATTGTGTTTGAACGTATAATAGCCTTGAAAAAGGCTATTATATATCATGCCTCTTCAACTTTCACACTTAAAATATCCATAATTTATAAGTGGTAAAGAGACAATTTATTAATTAATTATGTATTAATTAACAGATAGATTTTTGATATTTAATTACCATTGATAAAATGCATCTAAATCACTTTTAAAATAGATGATTTTGCCCTCCCACGCTAGAAATTGAACTTAATTGATCTCACAATGGAGAAATTCACTCTCTGCATTTAATCCATCCCCTCGGGGAGCAGTGGGCTGCCACTGTGCAGCTCCTGGGGAGCAGTGTGGGGTTAACCCCCAGATGTCCCACTCACGTACGTCATGCAGAGTACCTGTCTGTCACGTTAATCAATGAGAACTGTTCCACATCCACCGATACCACCTCACCGTCCAACGTATTTTTTCTCCATCCGTCAATGTCAAAATACAGAGACGAGCAATTTTTTCTCCGGTCCAGCCAGGTCAAGATCTATAATTGCAATCGCACCAAACAGGAAAAAGAACATACAGAAGATCTGGTTTGTCAAATTAAAATAGGCTTAAAAGTTGAATGAAATCCAGTCAAAAGAAACTTCTTATCACAGGTATGGATGTAGAGATGCTGAGTTTGGGAGTAGAGAGCAAACATAGTTCATACAAACCAATTTTGTATGATCCTACTTATCCCTGTAACAAAAATCCACAACAAAAAGAAAATATTTGGGCAGAAACTGAACATATGATGGATACTGATGGGTATTTTTAATGGGTATTAAGGGTTAATTTCTGCAGGTTTTGCTCCTATGAATATAATAATAATATCGCAGATGCTCGGGAGGAACAGCGGAGGCTGTAGGCTTTGCTTTGCACAGGCAGTCTGGAACGCTGCAGGGCGGAGCGGTGATGGAGGATGTGGGATTTCGGGGTTAGGGTCCCCACATCCTGCACTCTGAGACCCAGAGTGCAGGATGTGGGGATCGAAATGGGTACTTGCAACCTTCTCAGAGCACAAGTGCACTGCTCTAACCACAAGGCCAACACTCCCCACTAGGGTTAGTTCAGCCCTAACCCTAACATCAGTGGATTTATGATACCTCAAATAGTTCTGTATTTTAAATTTCTTACCTTGTCATGTTGGACCTTAACATCAGTAGACTAAATACCTTCATAAACTGCCTACTTACCCTGTATAAATGACTTAGATGCAGATGACAAATTAATCAGACATTGATAAATAATCTGTTAGTCATTAATAAATGGTCTATTTGCCATTTATAAATGATGATTAGACTACCAATTCCAGCATGCCTAACCTATACTTTACACAAGAGCAAGATTGACATCAGCAAGGTTTCAGGTCAAAACAAGGAGTCAGCTCAGACCATAAAACCAGTGCTGACCAACTGACAGGAGTTTTTTGGACATCTTCAACCACTCTACAGCATACTGTACCCTGGTTCTTGACTGTGTGAAAATGTCCATCACCATGCCTGGACCTTAAAAATAATCCATCCCCTGTTTCAGCGATTATCTCCTGCTCTGACATAGTCACCATGAAGTACCTTGAGAAGATTCCCTGTACAAGCTTGCAGGAGAATCGTTTGACAGAGAATAGTGTCTCTTTAGCATTTCAGACTTTCATAGACTGTCTCAAAACCAGCTATACATTATGTAAATACAGCATGGTACATTCCAAGTATGTATGTTCTTGTTTTTATCTTAGATGTCTCCTCCATGAATGTATTTTAAATTTACGTCTGTTTATTGTATCAGCATTTTATGGTGGTGTGTTAGAAAAATGTTATTATGGTGATATAATGGCAACAATTTATCTTGATTCAGGTAATGAAAATAATAGACAGATATACTGTGGCACTACATTAGCCTGCTCCCTGTGTTGTTGCTTTTTCCATAGATCGTGGTTTTATGGAACTGTGACAAGCCTTTACCTCCTCGAAATAAGTGGCCCTCCACCAGCGTGCCTCTCACTGTCACTGAAGGACAGACCAAGGTAACAGCTGCTGGCTTTTTGCATCCATTATTGTGTTGAAATCGACTTCAAGCCGAAGAGATGAAAGCATTTATCTGCACTTTAAAGATATTTACCAAAAGGTGCTCCAGGAAATTAAACTTCAACGTTAAAGCCCAGGCTTTTTTTTTTTAAGGCAGATAAGATGCAGGTCTCCACAACCTTCCATACAAATAAAGTTCAAGTTGACTACTCTTTAGGCATGAATAGTGTTTAGATGCAGTATTTAGTCTGCAGTATTGTCTGTTAGTGTAAAATATAGATCAGGAACTTTTTCTGTACAATTATAACAAGCCTCCTGTTTGTTTGTATGTGTGTTGATGCGTTGATATCAAAGTCAAAGATGTTTAACAGTTTTGGTATGCAGAGTTATAGCTTTACGTTCACACCAAACAAGTTTTTGGTGTAAAAGCATCTGACTTACATACAAAGTCTATGGTGGACAGCAATCAAGCAGCACCAAGAGGTACCGTCAAAGCGTCTTGGCGTTCCAGCATTGGGGAATCCCAGTAGTCGATGCTGGATTCCAGAAATCTGAACTTTAGCAGCTTAATGCAAAGTTTTAACCAATCAGAAAGGATCACCCAGAAGTTTTGTGAGAGATAAACACTGCATCAGGCTTTTAGCTAGGAATATTTAAGTTTTACACCTTAGTTTATCACATGTTTATGCTTTGTGTGCCGTAGGGTGGTTCCAGGGTAGGATACCCCTGAAAATTTGGAAATTTAGACTCTCTGAAATGCTATTTTCTGCAGTTTGAGGTGGAATCCAGTTAACTTTTTGTCTTGATTACAACAAGAATGTGGGCTTGATGATGCGAAGGATGCGGAGTTCAGGCACAGACAGCGGCAGAGCCAAGTGACAGAGAATAACAGGGCAAAAACTACTGTGAAAAGAGGGTAAAAAGAAGTCTACATAAAAACAAAGACTAGAAAGCCACGTCAAAAAAACTACGAACCCACCTCAAAAAAAGAAAGAGCCGGCCGAAAAACACAAACACCAAACCAACCGCCAGGCAACGGCAACGGCAAACCCCAACCGCAACCGCCCGAAGCTCAAGCGCCCCCTTGGGGGTTTATTGCTATTGTTCGTAGCGGCTGGAAGTAGATGTTAGCAATTTTCAGGTATGTGGTACAAACAGCAGGCACCAGAATAATAAAAGCAAACAAATTTTGCAGGCAGGTTTTGACATTTTAAGTTAATGAAGGAACGCTATGAACAGCAGAAACATGCAAGAGAAGGAGAGTTTTGTGTCAGAGGTTGTGTGTGAGTCTACTCCGATATACATTTTTTATTTAGAGGAGGAAAGGGGGGACAAAATTGTTGTGGAAGAGGACATCAGCGCAGCAGAAGCTTCGTTTTGTGTAGAAGGCTTACAGCCGTACATGTTTGAGCCCTTGCCTCGGAACGCTGCCAGTTCTGTTAGCTCTACGACTGGCGAAGATACAGACGTCCATCCCTGTGAACACCGGGACATAAAGTAAATGATTTTTTCTTATTTCAACCGTATTTTAGTTGCGACATATGAATCAAGATCCTATGACTGAAAATAAATGTGATGATTGGCCGAATTTAGGTGTACAAGCTGACATATAACTAACTGGCCTGCATAAAATAATGGGGAAAAAAACACAGATTTTATATTCATATTTATTTATTTTTTTTAATAGAAATTTTCTAACTTTTGGGACAATATGGTCTGGTAAAGAGTACATTTATATACATGTTTAAGCCAGAATGATTTTAAATTTAAATATGACTTCCCTACGAGTTTAAACAGTTTCAGAGGAGTGATTGTAACGCTCTGCAGCAGGAGCGCTGTCTCTCTCCCTGCCAGCTCCCAGATCAGCTTCTCTGATTGGTTTATGTGGTGGGTTGAGCAACAATAATTCAGCTGCTTCTGAAATTTTAAATATTTGGGCAAAGTTTCTGGAGGAAAATAGGGCGTACCAAAGCTGTACATCCCAAATACAAGGCTTACAATTTGTCATTTTTTTTAGTAAAGGGCATATGATGTGGCAGCTGTGATTGCTTCTGCAGAACTGTCTCAACACGAATAGTAAATAAATACAAGAAGTTAATCTCCACAGGTTTTAATAAGCTAGGAGAAATTATGTTTATACAAAGGAAGAAAGCAAGCACTGATCATTATAACTTTTGTTCTTACTGAGCTGTGAACAGTTTATAAACCATTTTATATTCACTTTAATCCGGTATTAATGGCAACAGGAAATCTCCGACAGCCTGCACGACTTCAGAGAGCTTTCACTGGGGAGTCCTAGCACTGAGGCCAGACGGTATGTAGGGAACTGCCGCTCTGAACGAGAGGAGAATATTTTAGCAGGATCATAATCCTAATGAACTGACTGAACAGTGACCTTTTCAGGTGAGAACCAAAGCGTAAAGCATAAAAGCATCATGACCAACGTTTGGCCTGGTGTACAAATTTCAGAATTTAAGTGTGTTTGATGCCCAGAACGTGTTCCCTGTGAATGTACCATAAGGTGGGAGGGGCTGATGGTGGGAGTATGGGATTTGACCTTCAATACCATAGACACTTTCAAGATATTGATAATCCACTCACCAATATATCATTTATATCTGAATATTCACTTAGAGTTGTAAGGGTCTAGTGCCTATCTCCAGTGGCCATTGGTTGATAGGCAGGGTAAACCCTGAAGAGGTCATCGGTCTACGACAGCGCAACACAGAAACACACAAACAGCCATTCACATACAGAAACAAAAAAAAGGAGTGTCGAAAGTCAAATTTAAGACTATCTTGTATTATTTTCATCATTATATTTATGATAATAGTAAAGCATGATGATTAACATTAATACCCCAAAACTGCTGAATTGTGGATTTGTTAAAGTGAGTGGTGGGAGACCAGGGCATTTGCTTCCTAGATAGAAAGCTAAATCTCTTATTTGACTACAACTCCCTGAAGGCTCAGTTATAGTCATGTTGAGGGTGGGCCCTCAGGGTTCCGGTGGTGGTGTTCAACCCTAAACAAATGCTGTTGACTATTAGGTTTGTCGCTGACATTGATATAGTTTTCTTTGAAAACCTCAGGGGGCAGAACACAACATAATCTGTGAAAATGTAGTGAAACATAGAAATGCTTAACATCATAGAGCCAAAATGGCTGCATATACAATGAAAAAAATTTTTCTTGTTAACATGAGTCTTTTGCTTGCAACAGTTCACACCCTTTACAAGATTGTTATAGGAAAGTTTATACAAGACATCCAAAGTTTATGCAAGACATCCAAGTACAGCTTAAGTACAGCAAGGAGAGGAAAGAGCAGGAAGAAAAAATGGAGAGTTGGTTCAGCTAATGCCCAGAACGTCCGCAACCCCTAGGGAGTCGACAGAGGTACTGCTATGGGGTTCGCAAAGTTTTGATTGATTAGACTGTTTTTGTATATTCCCTGCTGCAATTTTTTACACAAATTGAAATATCTTTAAATACACATAGACATGAATTCAACACAATGCAGTAAACAGATAAATGGAGGCAGAAGATGTCTTTCAGTCATCAATGCACACATTCAGTGACACACAGGAGCTCTTTCAAGCTGGGCACCGTTTCATTCACAACACCTGTCCCATCAACCAGGAATTAGAATCAGAAATAAATTAGTAATCAAAGGGCGAAATTACTTTCGTTACATCACTCTATATGTAATAGAGTAACTATAAGACCAGTTTGATATAACACAAGTTCATACAATATATATAATTAGGGGGTCCCTGCTCCATCTTGCAATCAGTTTGAGGGTCCTTGGCCTGGAAAACGTTGAAGACCCCTGGTTTAGTAGATATTGTCAGATTCTGTTAAACCTTCGTGAAGGACTTAGTCTATTTAATAACTTGCATTTATGTTTCTTTTACACACTTTTTTTTCTGTTTATTGTCTTTCTTTTCTGTTCCTTCTGTTATTTAGTAAAAGATTGATTTGTGTATGACAAGTTTGCATGTCTTTCAAAATGAATGGAGCGTTAAGGACTTAGGAGGAAAATACAGAGGTGCATGAGCAGGCGCCACAACAGTTTGCAGAAGGTGTGCCTAGTAGTGCGGATGACACAATTGTGTCCCTGTCAGCCACTGTTACATCCTGTTCAACGTGTTAATTATAAAGCTAGCTTAGGCCAGACTCCTACCCCCACTCTGGATTTGTAAAGGTATATTTCCAAATATTTTTGGCTGCAATGTTTTTTGTAATAGTTTATTGTTTTTAGCCAATAAGCTACTACTTTTACGTATGCTATAGTAGAGTGAGACTCATGCCCACACTGTTCCTGAATCTGGTTTTGCAGCTGATTCAGATGCAAACTGACTAACTTCATTTTCTTCTCTCATTCATTAAGCATTTTATATATTGTACAATAGATATATACTATACACAAAACCATATACTGGAAAACTCAGTTGGTTGAGTTTTCCAAACAACCAAGATTTGCACAAGGGTGTCAAATATTCTGGTGACTGTCAGCTTTTATGTAATATTGGAGTAGTATTTAGCACAGATTCCGGTCCCTTTTTTGTTGTTTACTAACATGTGTTTGCTTACATGGTAGTTTAAACAATTTTTAAAAAGTCGGTAGCGGACCTTTTTTTTGTCAAACAAAGGTCTAAAAAAAACACAGCTCCAGTATTAGATATATTCAGTTTTGAAAATAGATCCTCCCAACTGTAGACAATTATACTATCCACAAAGGTTTTTTTTTTTACAAACCAAAAGGCAACCAAAGTGCTGTAAAATAAGATGAAACCAGAAATGACAACAACAAAAAAAACAAGTTTCACAACATACTTAGAGAATTAAATAATTTCAATTCACATTTCAATGTAGGTTATTTATATAGTGCCAGTTCAACACACACGTCACCTCAATGCACTTTACAAAGTCAAATTAATCAAACCTTAGAGACAGATTAGAAGATCAACTATAAAAGGCAAAGAAAACACAAATACTGG